AAATGACCATTTTGCATTTTGTTACAATTTTTAACGTTAAAGATATAATTTTCTACCTTTAAAAAGTAGGATATGTCATTACTCTTAAGTAAAAAAATTTTTTTAGGGTGCATACGTAAATTGGTGGCAGTTGGTGTTAATTATTAAATATTTATTCAAAATAAATGAAGTATCAAAGATTTAAAGACACTTGTGTAATATTTGATGGAGATTTGTTTCTTATTTATAAAAATTTTTTAAATAATTAAATGGTCGAATTACAGAGCACTTTGCGGTGCTCTGTAATTAGAAAAACAGGTCTTCTTCGAGCACCTAAATAATTAAAAAAAGTATATATAAAAACTTAAAAAACTTTGATCTTTTGATGATGATTTTCTTAACAAGCTTTCTGATTCAACTTAAACATTTTTTTAGAAACTCAAATGAATTTAATAAAATCACCATATTTTGATGCTTTTGAACCCCAAATCAAAGAAGACTCTTATCTATAAGTGTTTTCATAAAATTTTGACGTTTGCTTTTTATGTTTAAGTGTAATATTATTATACTTAAACATAATAAGTATCCGTCAAATTTTTTTTTGATTAGCTTACTACTTACTCAAATTAAAATAATGCAACTTTATATGCAACATACATAGATGGTTTGAATTTTTTTGTCAGCTATCAAACACAATATGGTTACCAGTTTGTTTCTTTTTGCTCGCTGTTTTTAATAACATCTGATCTACACAATAGTAGAGGCAGATGCACCATTTTTTCAGTGCCTGAAACAGCCATCTTTCTGACAGGAGCAAGCACTAAACATTCATTTGCATAAACTGTCAAATTTTCATATTTTTTTCTTTTTTTATGTTATTTATCTCCTAAGGGTCGCACTAAGCGTCATACTTCTACTGAAAAATAAAATATGTTTGATTAAATGTTAATCCGAGAAGCATCGAATCTTTTTTAATAATGTTTTCATAAAATTGTTATTATATTTTCATTGAAATTATTTTTATAAAGTGCATCATTATTGAACATAAAAGCATATTTATTTATTAAATCATTTTATTATTTATTACAATAAATAACAAAGGTTTTACGATAATATTCTCTGTCGGTTCTGTATACAAATCAAACCCGTAAAAATGAAATGAGGTAGAGATCTTACTACAGATCTCTAGTATACCAGATTTGTATACCAGATCTATAGTACACCAGAATTTAGGTATTTTACTACAGATCTGTAGCTACCTCTAGAGGTAGCCAGAATTTTTTTTCAGTAACTAAAAGTCGATTTATTGCATAAAAATTTAATCAAATAAAACAATGGTTACTTCTGTATTAACATTATTTAATCCATTAATCTTTGCGGATTCTGCTAAATAAGAAAAAGTATTATGCAATAACTTTTTTAGACTTTTCTTGGTTTTTAATTAATTAAATATATAACTAAGTTAGAAAAATATAAGTATAATAGTTTGATTTTTATCATAAGCAATTGAAATATTTATTTAAAACATCTTTTTTTTTAAACCTGAAATTTCCCTTTTTATAAAAGCAAAATTGATAAAATACGAAATTTTATTTTTTAAAAAACCTTATTCCGTAGAAAAATATTTATAGAGTTAAAATTTAGAAAATTTTTCAAGAAGTGCTTGTAAAATCATATTTCCGCTTAGTGATGCCTAGTAGGCCCAGAGGGCCACTACAATCAAAGAGGCTACTTTATTGTGGTCACACCTCTCAAAACCCTTTGAATTCGAAAGAGAGCGCTCTACGACTCTATCGCATAAGGATGCTTTGCAAAAGATTGCGATGATTGAAAAAGCAAAAAACATTAGGCTAAAATTTTTTAGAGTTTGGTCTATGTTTGGCTTATATTCTTCTCGGCAATAATATTTTGGCCTGTATTCTTCTCGGCAATAATATTTTATCATTTTATCGATGGTTTTACTTAGTCAAAATTTTGTAAGCATATAACCATATTTTTGTCAATTGAACATTTGTAGGTTATTTTGTTTTATATATTTTAGATAATTTTTCAAGTTTTTGGAAATACGGGCAGATCCTATTGCTTCGTAATTTTTTGCTTAATTATTTGAGAATCGCAAGTGTTCAAAATACAGAAGTGTCAATTAAAATGAAAATTGTCTATTTGACCTATTTGACCAAACTTTAAATGACTATAGAAGAAACAAACCACTTTCTGGAATAATCGTCGTATACGACGTAATCGCACAGGAACTTCATTTAAATATTAAAAAACCTAATTTTAAAACTGTTATTAAGCCAACAAAGTTTAAATGCCAGATTACGGCTTCCTACAAAATTCGTTTTAAAATATGTTCACGAGGGTGCAGGGAAAGCGTGGTTTCAATAAATGATTTTTATTTTTTTACAAATTTGTGATCTAATTTATATCATATTTAAGTTTTTAGTTTTTTTTATTTTTAAAAATAAAAATAAATGGGTTTTAATTTTAGCTTGTAAATGCCTAAATTAAATAGTGATAATAAATTTTGCAAATAATCTGAGTATATCAACATTTTCTTTTTTTATTTGACCGTTCGTTTTACATTTTCGTTATATTTAAAATATATTTTATATATTATATTTATATGTAAAATACTTTTGCTTTTCATTAAACACTATAAATTGGCTAACGATATAATGATAAAAATAACTAATTAATTTTTATAATAACTGATAATAACTGATATTTTTTGTATTTATTGTTTTACTTACATTTACAAGACATAAAAATATTAGTTTTCTAATTCAAAAAAAAAATATAATGCATATAAAATTGAAATTTTAAACCCAAAATTATTATTTTGTTTTTAGCTTTTCTATCAAAAGTTTTGTACTTATAAAAAGTTGCTCTTGTGTAACCTATATCAGCAAAAATATAACCAACAAAAGCTAAATGGAAAAAGTAAACTGAGTACTTTTTCAGTTTATCTGTTTATTTGAGTACATAAAATTAAACATGTTAAATGGGTTTGAAAATTTGTTAAAACCGATAAGTATAGTTTAGAGTGATTTAATTTTATAACATAAAAAAGTAAAATGTCGTTTTCAAAAAACTTATTATGCCTTGTTTGGACTTGACAAAATGTTCATTAAATCTTACATTGTTTGAACTAGCAACATTTGGTCAACAATTTGAAAAACTCTCAAGTTGACCTAATGTATTTAAAAAAAGTATAATATCAGAATTATATCAGATTGTTGTTGTTTGATTTAAAATTTGCTTAACATTTTTTTTAACAGGTAAATTTTAATTATATAACTATGGATGCTTTACAACAAGGTGCCTCTATTGTTAAGGATATGGTTTATACATGTGGCGAGTGTCACTCTGAAAATACTATAAAGGCACGTGATCCAATTCGGTGTCGTGAGTGTGGCTATCGTATAATGTACAAGAAAAGAACAAGAGGAATGATGGTATTTGATGCACGATAACTTTTGTTAAAAGAAAAATCTAGAAAGAAAATTTGAGTCTAGTTTATCAAATAAAGTTCTTCTAAATGATCTGTGCAATGGCTTTCAAATTTGATAATAAATATAGTAATATTATTTTTAATATACTAATATTTATTTCTGGAGCTATTATATTTGTTTTGTTTTTTTTGTTACACATAAGATTGTTATTATTTTTGTTTTTAAAATGCTGAAAGTATTTATTTGAGAATATCTTATTATGTGTCTGTTAAAAAAATTAAAAAAGATATTTTTTTTAAAGTATTTTTCCTTTAAAATTTTTTTTTGTTAGATTTGTTATTTTAACATATAAAATACAAAGTATTATATATATATATATATATATATATATATATATATATATATATATATATATATATATATATATATATATATATATATATATATATATATATATATATATATATATATATATATATATATATATATATATATATATATATATATATATATATATATATATATATATATATATATATATATATATATATATATATATATATATATATATATATATATACAGGGGCTATTTTAGACCATTTCGACAGAGTCGACTGTATTTAGGCATTGATTTGGGCCCTGCCCAATTTAAATTTGAGGACCTTTTTATTTTGTTATGTTTTTACGGCAAATATTATTTTTTTTTTTTTGCAAAAAAGCGCCTACATATGGCAATATTTCAGCTAAATTTTCTTGGGATGGGGGTACTGCCGCCCAAACATTTTTCCTAGAATAGCCCCTGATATATATGTATAAATATATATGTGTATATATATATATATATATATATATATATATATATATATATATATATATATATATATATATATATGTATATATATATATATATATATATACACAGCCCTCATTGTTATAAAAAATGACACATAAAAGATAAAAGTAAGGTCAGCCATTTTTTGCCAACCCCAAATACTTGAAGGTCAACAGTTAGTTTTTTTTGAATGCTGATCAGGGTTTTGTGAATAAAATGACATCGCAAATGGCAGAAACATTTAACTAACGGTGAAAAGGAAAAAAAGAGCAAAGTAAAAGTGAAGGAAATTTTTAAATAGTAAAAAAGATTAGTTATAAATAATGTAAACAAAGAAAATAATTGAAGGGTTTAAACAAACTAAAAGATTAAAGAAAAAATAAAACAAGAAAATAAATAAAAGAAAAAAAAGAATGAACAGATTTAATCAAACAAAAATAAAGCAAAAAGAATCAGTTAACAGCAAATTACCAATGTAAAAGAAAAATGTTCGAAAAATGTTCAAAATAATAATTAAAAGAACTAATTAAAACGTAAAAAATCGCAACCAATTTTTCTACAGCTTTTTTTTTTTGTGGCACATATATGATATTTGTTATGTTATTTTTTATTATTATATTAAATATTAATATTATAGTATTACCATTAATTATTTTTATTAAATATTGCATTTGTTGAATATTATCATTTTGTGTATGCATTTTGTTTTGTAGTTTTTGTGTTTCTCTTTTCGTTTGCGTAAAGTTTGTTATTATTTGTGCTAATTATTTGTATTTTTGTTTTCTGTTTTTCTATTTTACCTAATTTTCTACACCTTTTTTTTTTATTTTGCAAAAAATAACTAAAGTTTATCCTTATTTTTTAATTTAATTTTGTTTTGTAGAAGTATTTGTATTTGCCTTTTTGTTTTGTAGTTTTTGCGTTTTTTCTTGTAGTTTTTGTGTTTTGTTTTTTCGTTTGTGTTAGGTTTGTTTTTTATTTGTTCTGTTTTGCTAATTATTTTTATTTTTGTTTGCTGTTTTTGTTGAGTTTTTTCATATTTTTTGTCTTATTATTCAACTTATTTTAGCTTTTTCGTTGTTATTATTATTTTATTTATTTTCTTAGCGATTTTCAGTTCATATTTGTTATTTTTATTATTATTTTATTATTATACTAATTGTTATAATTAATTGGTATCACTCATTTTGATCATGAGTGATACTCATGTAATCATATTATTTGTATTATTATAGATAATATTATTATTTTTAATTATTATTGTTATAATTATTTGGTGTCACTCCTTTGATCAGGCTTCTGTTTGAGTGACACCTTCCTTTTTAAATAATTATTTATATTTATTTTTATTAGTTATATTTTATTATAATTATATTGTTTGTATTATTATAGATAATATTATTATTTTTAATTATTATTGTTATAATTATTTGGTGTCACTCCTTGGATCAGGCTTCTGTTTGAGTGACACCTTCCTTTTCAAATAATTATTTATATTTATTCTTATTTGTTATATTTTATTATAATTATATTGTTTATATTATTATAAATAATATTATTATTGTTATTATATGATTATATGTAATTTGAAAAAATTTGAAAAGGAAAATAAATATCTTGTTGTTGTTGTTGTTGTTATATATATATATATATATATATATATATATATATATATATATATATATATATATATATATATATATATATATATATATATATATATATATATATATATATATATATATATATATATATATATATATATATATATATATATATATATATATATATATAATTAAGTTTAAAAATTATAATTAATTTGTTATGAAGATTTATCTAGATAATTACTTTTTTTTATATACTTCAAGTACTGAATCATGAGAATTAAGCTAAAATTTACAGATTTTTCTGCCAATGTTGATCAAAGAAAAGTATGTTACTTAGTTGACAAAGAAAAGTGCCAAAAGGTTGCAGATTTATGTTACTTGATTCAAAAGAGATTTTTTAACTATGGAGAAAATGTTTCTTTATATCATGATGGGTTTTATTTTCCACCTCAAGAAAGTATAGAAGTTGTGCAAGAAAATGATGTCTTAGATGTAAAGTAAGTTTTCAGAATAGATTTAAACTAGTTAATTGTCTTTGTTAACAGAAAATATATCTACCAAAGATTAATGATAGAATTTTAGATTAGTTATCTAATGCAATGACTAAAGCTAGGCTAAAACAACCATTTAATTAAAATTCTTGCTTCATAAAGTCCAATAATACACATTAAGTCATTTTTTTGTGAAAAATAAATAATGTTCTTGTAAAAATATCCTAATAAAAGTGTAATTAAAGCGGTACTCCTTTACATTTACTACAATAAGTTTTTGTAATGCATTAAATCACTTCTCTGACAAAAAAGGCAAGTTAATAATGCACAATTGAGGTTGAGTTTTTTGTGCATTACTGGTTATGTTTTTAAAAAAACTTAAACAAAAAGTGAAAAAAACTGGTTTATGATTTTTAAGTTATGATTATCAACAAAGAATAATATTTGAAATATGATATTATATGAAGTATGAGTATTTGAAATATGATATTATATGAAAAATGAATGTTTATGATATGAATCTAATAGACATAGTAGGATATTATAGTTATGATATGAGTCTAATAGAATCTAATAATAGTCAACAATAACTTATATACAAAAGAATCCTATCACTCAGGTATATTAGATAATATTAATTATCAGTAAAAATATATCTACCATTTTATAGTACTATTTACCGTTTATATTACTTCTGATAGATCCTTATTTTCACCCAATACAGTTTTCTTGAATTGAGTTGAAAAAATTAATTCAAAATTTATGATTAATTTTTTTTTTTAATTTTTTGTTATTTCATTTTTGAAAATCTGTTTAACATACCAATAAAAGTTTATTTAAAAAACTATTATAAATATTTTTAGTCATAAAATAATTAATAACTTTAAATAATAATTTTTAAGCGACAATTGAAGCAACACTAGAGATAATGTCTCAATAAAATTACTCATCTTAGGCAGATATTAACTGCATTCAGCTCAAATTTTCCAGTTTTGGAGTTCTTGGTTGAATAAAGGTCATCTAAAAGGTTTAGGTAGATATAAACCTGTGTTGCATCATTTTCTGTTTAGAATGATGAATGCTGGATCTTCTTGATTCTAATCATAGAATTTTGCTTGTGCCTCCTTGATAGTAGCTATACAACTCTGTGATTTCCTAATGAGTGTACAGCTTTAAAAATCAGTTAAAAGGTTCTGGTAGTAAGGTTTCCTGAACTCTGTGGTAGCAGCAGTTGTTGATGCAATCAGCCTCAGAGAGGCTGATTTCATAAGCAACTGAAAAATGTCAGAGTATTAACCGTGCTATGTTGCGCATGGATGATGTCCCTGTTAATGCTTTTGGTTTACATTGTCAAGGCCATAAATATAAAAATAAGAACATTTTTTGATATACAAGTTTTTCACTACTCTACTTTCAGTCAGTATATTTAGGAAATACTTTATTATTTGCGCTAGAAACATCGACAATTTTCAAATTTGTTTTTTAAATGTATTTGCTAAACTGCTTTTATCAATGCGAGAAAACTAATCACTATATATTTGTTAAAATTTTTTTTTTCTTTGTTTTAGTTTTTTATGTAAAAAAATTAAAAGTCATTAATATTTATACTTAAATATAAAATATTTGGTTATTTTCGCTACCCCTATTGAAATAGTCTGCACTTTTATTGGACTATCCAAATAGTGCATTTAAACTCGATAGTTTATTTCCTGATAAATTATTGTTATTGACAATGCTCCAAAAGCTTGTGGGTTAATGCATTGTTAATTTACTGAACTATTTAAAACTTTTTTTTATGTTTTTAAAAACATTTTGTTTTTAAATTTTTTTTTGTTAATAGACAAATGCCAAATAAGACACAAAAATTGGGAAATACCAAATATAATGTTTTTTAATGCGTGTTACAACATTTTGACAATTTAAATTACCATATATCTTGAATTATTGCATTAATTAATGTGTTAATTATTGCGTTAATTAATAATAATTTGTCAGTATTTTTGTTAAATATTAGTAAAATGGGTGAAAATATATGTACTTCATGTTTTTAATTTGATGGTTATAAAATATTGAACAGTAAATTTATAATCAAAATTTATAATGCCGACTTATGCTGCTATTAATTGTACTTGTAATGCTAAACCAGGATCATATCCTTCTACGAATTTTCATATCTGATACTACTGTCAACTGTATTGTTTAGTGTATTCTTGTCCTTTTTTTTCATAACCTTAACAGGTTCTAATTGGTATGGAATTGCTGACATTTTAAAAGTTTCGTTATCAAAAATCAAATGCAAAATAAAATGATATTTTCTTTTTATCCACATCCAATTCAGGAAATTTAACAACTTTAAATTAAATCAACGTAATCAAAAATTTTTTATAATAAAAAAATTTAATAGTTTCTAATTAATATTGTCAGTTAATAAAAGTAATTGTTAATACTTTTTTTCGGAAAAACAAAAAATGTCATTGCGTAAAAATGACTAGAGAAGTTGGAAAATAGTTCCCATTGTTTAAATGAAAATAAGTAAGATTCAGAATATATAATTCTGCACTCTTGCACAAAAACCAAAGACTGAATTTATAATTTCTATATAATGTAAAATACTCATATGAAATCATAACATTGGTAAGTAAAACTTTAATATTTGTTTTAATTTAAAAATAAAAGAAATATAAGTAAGATATATAAATCTAAAAATTATTAAGATATCTGTAAAAAATAAGTTGCTCCTATAAAATAAAAATAATTTATTATTTTTACTTTTTACAATAATTTTTTTGCGATGTTCGGAAAATAAAACAAATAAATTTGTTTTGTATCTTAAAAACATACTACATCGTACTTTTTGAACTATAATTGAAAAATACAGCTTTGTTTAATTACACTTTTCATTTGTTAAAAGTCTACCGTGACGTCAAATACTAAAACTTTTATGAATTAACGCGCCTTGAAGGAATCGCCGAAGTTTGTAGATTGCGACGTATAATTTAAAGAGTCTGAGTTTTTGAATAAAATGGAGAAGACGAGCTTCTGCTAAAACAACAATATTAGTTTTTCTTGGTATGCATTCATTATTTATTTTTAATCAAAAAAACTTGATTCAAACCTTTTTTTTTAACATTATCTTTCATATGAATACAACATGTGTTGAAAGTTTGGTACCCTTTAAGACCTCAGTATTGATGGGTAGTATCCTTTTAATTTAAGACTCTAATTGTCACATGCTTGGCTTGGGCATCAATTTGCCTATTATTTGAGAAATCAGGTTTGAGTCCTTGGAGCATTTTTTTATGTGCTTCCTTATAACACTTCTTCACTCTATTACCTATCTCTTTGTTCTTTCTCATTTTCCTTCAAGAATGCACTCTTTTTGATGTAAGTACCCTGACCCTAGCTTTTGTTCTGTTTCTCCTTTTTTTTTTCTCTTAGGTCGTTCTGACCATGCAATGGTCTATATAAATCTTTTACTTCTTCTTTGATCTTATCCTATAATTGAACTACTTACTACAATCCTAAAGCCGACTGGGATTCTTTTTGTGATTTTCTTTAAGACGGTCCTTGGGCTGATGTCTTTTCTCTCTCCACTGAATAATCCTATAATTTCTTCTTGTTGGTTCCAAGTCAAGCCTCTATTTCATGGTTTATATAGTTAAATATATAGCAAGCTTATATAGAAGACCAGCATACCTAACTTTGTTTTAACTTTTTTTGTTTCTAAACTTGTTCTTAGTTTAGTCTTTATACTTATATTTATTTTAGTAAACCGATAAAATTAAATCAATTTAAAGTTCTGGAAGTAGGTAAGATGCAAACATTTTTACGAACCATAAATCTATTGCTTGTTAAGTTATAATTTATTTAAAAGAAAACAGTCTAATTTAAATAAAATATTTTGAATACTATTATATTTAATTTAAAAAATTGATGAGCAAATGTTTTTTAAATGTCATAACTGTTGTGGTCATTATATTGTCTTTTTGCTAAAAACTTCGCAGTTCACATTTTACTGACTACTTAATGTTCTTGACTTTTAGTCAATTTTTTGGACAATTATTTTAATATACTTTAGAACTTATTTAGTATCTTTACTTATTACCTTATTACTTATTTACTTCAATCTTGAGCAAATAAGACAGTTGTGTAACATTTCTTCAGGTATTTTTGGAAACTCATGATAATAATATTTTAACCCTCTCATTAAGATTTATTTAAAAAGTAAATTTGGACATTTAAAAATGGGCCCAAGAGACCTAGTTATTTCAAATAAGTTAGTTTTATCTGTTTGATATTTTTTATAAAAGCCTTTCTGTAAAAAAACTCTTAAAAAATACATACAATTAAGCTGTTTTCATTGCAGAATTAGGCAAATAAATTATTGAACCTGTTGTTTGTGAAATCGATACTTAATGCAAATGGAAACCGTCTTGATTGTACAAAAGGTTTCCATTCATATATAGCCAATATATCAATTCAAAATAATAGCCAATATTAGGGGTGTCCAAAAAACAACTTTTTTGAGAAAAACCTGCTGACACCCCCTAAATGTGTTTTATCTAATGCAAAAACACTAGGTTTAAAATTTTTTTGAACAAAAATTATTTTTAGGGGTAGCTCAAGGCCCTCAAAAATTTGACGGGTCCCTAATATTTTGAAAAAAAAACTTTTTCTAAAGTATGTCAACCTGGTACTCAAAAGAAGCGATATTGTATAAAAACTTCAAAAATAATAATCATTTTACATAAAAAACATGCCTAAAAAAAATTATTCTCAAAAAACCTGAAAATATTGACTTTTTTTATTTTCAGCTTAAAAACAATAGTTTTTATGCATTTATACCTAAAAAAATTATTTTTATAAAAAATTATTATCATTTTTAAATTTTTTATATAATTTTGCTTATTTTGAGTACCAGGTTGACATACTTTAGAAAAAGTTTTTTTTTCAAAATATTAGGGACCCGTCAAATTTTTGAGGGCCTTGAGCTACCCCTAAAAATA